TGTGAGGTTGGGGGACACTCACACATGTGACTCTGGGTGGTCTCAGCCACGGCAGGACCTGTCCAGGCCAGCTGGAGTTAGCCAGAGGTCGGGCATGCAGGAGGGATGGTAACCGGGCCCCTGGATCCGTGCCCTCAGCCTGGGGGCTTGCGGCCTCCATCTGCCTGGGGCCCGGACCTCCCTGGGCTTGGTGGGCTCCGCAGACAAGTCCCGACCTCCGTCTGAGGGAGCTGAGTTGGCCCTGCTTTGGTGACCGCAGAGCTGACCCGGAGGAGGTGCTGGGCAGGGCACCTCCTGCCCTGTCTCTTGTTTAGAGACTGGCCTGTGGAGTTTGGAAGTGCCCTTGGGGAGAAGGAGGTCTGAACCACGTGCTCATGTCTGTAGGCTTCTGCAGGGCCCCCCAGGCTGAGCTCTGGGACTGTCCAGCCCGAGCAGGATTGACAGAGCCCCCCACGTGGATGAGTGTGCAGTTGCACCCACGGGGCGGGCGGGAGGGGCTGGGGGTGCGGCTGGGCCCAGGGGTGGGCATCCTGGGAGCCTCCCCTGGAAGCAGCAGCTTGGCAGGAGAGCACCCTTGGCCCCAGAACTTCCCATGGAGCCTTGACTGGCAGCAGCACCCAGGAGGAGCCCCCAGTTGATCCCCTCTGGGCAGTGGGTTGTTAGTGTGGATGGGCAGAGGCCTGTCTCAGTTCCCAGAGGGCTCCGTGGACCCAGCCCATGGTGGCTCTGACCTGCCTGTGGACACCGACCTCAGGTCACTGGCCCTGTTGATGGCCCTGTTCTGCCTGGGGGGCCAGGGGCAGTGTGCCTAGAAGCCAGGCGCTGCCCCGGGGCCCACGGCTGGGTGTTGCTGGTGGGGGCTTCCCCAGGGGCTGGGCCTTCCCATGTGGTGGCTCCCGGGTCAAGGGGAGAGAAAAATCCATGGGATTTTCTCTAGCTAGTTTCATTTCCCAGTTAAATAAATCTAGAAGTGGGTTGGTTAGTTTGTGATTAGAAATGCTGATGGGATCCACAGGGAAAGTAGCCCCTGCTCATCTTGCTCGCTTTCCCTGTTTACAGCCTGTGTATCTCTTCATGTCATCCCGAGTGCTCTTGACTTTAAAATTAAAACAGCAAAAATGGGCATATTGGGAATGACAAAGAATTGCAGTTCAGGACAAGCAAAACCATAGGCAAGTCTTGACCCATAAAAGAGAGGGACATATTTTACAGGGAAGAAGGAGGAAGTCGGGAGGGGTTGTTTTGAACGAAAGTCCCCTGGAGAAAAGCAAGAGTTCAGGGTGATGACGGTTTCTCGGTTTCTCAGTTTCCCGATGGCCGAGTTGCAGGGGTGGCTGATTTCTTGTAGGAGATTCCGTGAACTTCCGCTGTTGGGGCCTGTCGCGGGTGATTCTCTCCTGCGGAGGGTTCCTCTGTGGGGTCTGTGATTGGCCATTCTTCCTGTGATTGGGGTTGAGTGGCAGGGCCCCCTCCCAGCCTCCAGACTCCGCTTGGCTGAGGTTTACCTTCATTAATTCTCACCGTGTTGAGAGGGAGCGGCATTCAGGCTGGAGACTCGTGGGAACCAGGACACAGCAAGTGGGGAGCTGGCCTGGGTTTGCTTGTTTTTTTTTTTAAAGATTTTATTTATTTGAGAGAGAGAGACAGAGCAAGAGACAGCATGAGCGGGGAGGAGAGGGAGAAGCAGGCTCCCCGCGGAGCAGGGAGCCTGATGTGGGGCTCAGTCCCAGGACCCTGGGATCATGACCTGAGCTGAAGCCAGACGCTTAATGACTGAGCCACCCAGGCGCCCTGGGTTTGCTTGTTTTTTAAGTTATGCTTTTTATTTTTCATTAACCATACGTTCGTATGCAGTGTTAGAGGTAACACAGACCCACACCCCTTCCCACTTTCCCTGCTGGACACGCCCTGCGGGGCAGCGTCCCTCTGGGGGGCTGACCTTACACAGACAAGAGCGAGAAGGCTCTGCCCTCAGGGCCCTGCTCCGGTCATTCCCAGCCACACCCCTGACCCCAACCCTACAGTCCCTCCACCATTTTTGTGTCTTCTCCTTTCAACAGT